AGAAGACTTGTTTTTTATACTCACATGTTGCTGGGTTATTCCTATTTTGAGGAGTGTAGAATTAAAATTCCTGTAATAATTTTCCAATATCTATATTTCATATTTTTCGGAGCCGGGTTTTTTTGTCAACTATAGACGTCGTTGGCGCTCAGGGCCCGCAGGTGTTGGTCAAGTATAGGCGACTTTGGCGCTCAAAAGGTTAAAGAATTCGTGGTAAACCAGCTGGAAATTAACTTGTTTCGTTATCATAACATGATTCTATTTTAAATGTATTGTTATAAACAGATAAGAATAACTTAATCGATCTTCTTTAAAAACAGATAAGAATAACAGTTCTTATCTGTTTTCAAAGAAGATCGGTTAAGATTAACAGTTAAATTGTGCCGTAGCATTTGTTATTCTCTAAAGAATTCATTGGAAATCAGCTAGTAATTCGTTGTTTAATTATCGTAACATCATAATTATTTAAAAATTATATTAGCACTGTAATGATGACACCGTAAATAATCGATCGAAAAAGAGAATCGATTTTTTAAATGTGTTTTGTGATTGGCAACACTTTTTTTTTATTCACAAACTAATGACATAATGATTTACCTAATTTTTATTATTATGTTTCCGGTACTTTTAATTTGTGCAAAAATATTCCCATTGTTTGAGGATAAATGAATACCGCGATTAATAACCATAAATAAAGATATAATTTTTTAACAAATGCACATTGTTGGGCGTTCCATGGCCGAAAATGGGCGTCCCCCTTTGCGAGTAAGCGAGCAGCCCGGCTCTATACCTGTTGTCATCAATGAAAACATTAATTGCAATTTTATGTCGTGTTTTACTACACGCTCAGTGTTGAAACCTGCCTGTCTGCAACCTGCTCGTAAAAATAGTTGTAATTACATATGCTTTTTCTAAATTGCTGTTCGTGAAATATTATGTATAATTAATTATATAGATTAAATTTGCCCGAAACTCTTAATATCAAATTAATGTAAACACATTACATTTTGTATATAAACACAATAAATCACTCAAATCAGAAAATATTCTCTAGAAAAATTAGCGTTTCTTCAAGAATATATTTTTTCATTTTTTTCCGAGAACTTTTGACAAAGAGACACTCGGTCATGACTGAATGAGCGTGTTCACGCTATGCCCCAGTTTTCATGATGCTTGAAAATTTTTAAACATAGTGAGTTTTATAAAATGCTTGTAAAGAATTCGAAAAGGCTTAATATAAGGTTCGTTTTCGTTTCAATGTTTATTTTTGTGTAGCTAGTACAATTATTTTTTCTACTAGGAGTAAGTTATACTAAACCTTAAGTTTTTAACATAAGTAGTTTTATTGATGTTGTGTTTCATCATTTGTGATAAATGTCATCAGGACACATTGGCGTAATAGGGGCCAAATAACTTCAGTTTTATCTATGCGGTAAAACTGTGCAGTCGAACTGTAAAGATAAATCGTATGTCCCTATAGCCCATCCCACACACGTTCAAGTAAAACTGCGCGACTTATTCATTTCGTCCCGCGATGGCATCGACAGACGACACATTAGGTATTGTTGCACTATTGTTGATAAAAAGAAAACAAGAGACAGAAAAAATTAGGACGCGAAAATAATAGTAAAATCTGGTGTAAAGATTGGCTAATGAAAAGAGAAGCTCATTCTCATGTAATTTTGTTAAAGGATTTAAAGACGTTTTCAAGAGACTGGCATTATATTTAAAAATCGATAGTGATAAGTCATTTTTTTTTGCTGTGTATAGTCACGCCAATAATCAAAAAGCAAAATTATTTTATGAAAAATGGCGAAAACTGAGCGCTTGGCACACACGGTACGATTATCGGTACAGTTTCTTCCGATTCCGTTTTATATTTTCAAATTTTAATACTACTCCGTTCGACGGTACAGTCTTAAAAACTGTGCAGTTTTTATCACACACAGCTTTCGGTGTAGTTTAAACGGTACAGTGCGATCGTAACGATTTCTCGTAGCGTGTGTGCCACTCAATACTGTGCAATGCACAGCTAAGTAATTATATTCCTTAATCACTTTACTATATTTTGCATGAACTATTTTACATAATACCTACATGCCAGAGCTCATCGAAGTGGTAGATCACGTGAACTTTTGCAGGTATAGTTATAGAATGCAGAGTTGTTATAGACATGCACGGCTACAAGGACGAAAATTAGGATCCGTGGGTAGTGATTTAGCATGGAGTTGCGACGCTGAGTACTTAAGTGACCTACAAACAATTGTTCCGGGTCTGGAAATTTGGTCTTGTGCAATTAATGTATGTAAACTGCCTCCACGATACAGGAAATAATCTTTGTGTTACCATAGAATAAATAAGTGATAGTCTCTAGTGGGGGTATATTTTAGAATAAAAATAATATTATGAATTATGATATATAATATCCTTAAGGTGAACTATTTTCTTAGTAAAATAACCTTTGTGTGAAAATTTATTTAATAACATATTTAAAAGTCAATACTATCTATATAAATATAAGTATAAAGGACAATGCCAGATTGTGCCCCACTATATATATTTAAAGCTCTTTGTGCCCCACATTGTACATGAAAGATAAATGTACGTAAAATAATCTTATGAATATTGGATTTTTAATGGCAATAAATCGTTATTTTGTACAACTTGCTGTAAAATATTAATAATTTATTATTATAAATATTATTAATTAAAAAGAGGGAATTTAACGGCTAATTTATTAATTAAGTTTTTTTCAAATGACATCTGCGTTTGTCTATACTAATTTGTAAATACACACGCCTAAAGTACTTTATCTTTTTAATAAATTTATCGATTTCTGTTATGATTAATTATAAGCTATACAATATAAGTCGAAAATAATCATGAATTGAATTAAATTATTACTGACTTGCAATCATTGATTTACGTGCATTTTACGTAATGATACACATACGTCATATCGATATCGTAAGTACGCTTGTAAAATTAATGTCATTTATTTTCACACGTTGACTGATTTATGCTTGTAAAACATATTTATCATATTATTCTCTACGAGTTTGTGCTGATCTCTCGCTTTCTTTACCGTTGTAATTTTTCCTACTTCTAATGAAACATTTTGCATTTACTTATATACGGATTCTATTACGCCTACTTATTGGCTTTCTGCCAATTACCATAGACATTTTGATAATTACCTTCAACGACGCATTTCCACGATGTTAAGGTACAGTAATTGTCATCTTTGCGTCAACAGAATGCAGAGACATGTTATGTCTTCATTTACATCGTACTATAAACTTTTTATCCAACATGATCTTTACAACTGGAATGTTTAGATCAATAGCTATTTATATAGTTGATTTAGTTGAGTACTCTCGCTGTCGTAAGTGATGAACTTCATACAAAGAAAATTAAATTATTTTAAATATTATTTAACACGTCTATACCCAATGAAAGACTCAAACTCCAATAAATATATCAGAAGTCCGTCTGTGTACGTAACACTCTTAACTATTTGCTTGCAAGAATAATTACAGGCTGTCCGGCCATTTTTCTCCTCAGAGGTGACAACGTTTCTGTTCTCACGTAATTTTTTCTTTTTTGTTCGAAGTTGTTGAAGCATGTTCGTGAACTGTAAGTTTCGTGTTACTTCAATTTTATGAAAAAAAAAATGTCAACACACATTAAAAACGGGTGGAAAGAAAGATTTTTGTATATTTTATTTATTTCTTATAACATAATGTGTTGTTTTATAGGTATGTATGTAATTATTAAATTTTAATAAGTAATGATTTCTTATATTTACGCGAACACTACACATTGAAATAATACTAGTTTTTACGGAATTTATCGCGTATATTTAACTTTTTAAATATCCGACGTTTTGAGAGCTTTACAGTCCCCTCGTGACCATGGTTGCTGTAAAACTCTCGAAACGTCGGGTATTTAAAAAGTTAAATATACGCGATAAATTCGGTAAAAACTAGTATTATTTTAATAAGAGTAGTTCAAACCGACACGTTGTCATCTAATATGGAATACCTCACAGATTGTAATCATACTGGATTTCTATAGCCTTCAGACTAAATCACAGCATTTCGTGCACTGCGGCTTGTTGACTGAAATTGGTAAGGGAGTCGTACCAACCCCGATGGACTCTTAAGCAGAAAAGAGTCCTGCCATCTAGTAAAATGTTAATGCAGGAGAAGAACATATTGACACAATATTAAGAGCTATTTTAAGTAACAATTTCAGCCTATTTGTTTATATCTAAACTATTTAAGGAACACTGGTGGTTATTTTATAGTGTCTGGATCTGAACTGGATCTCTTAGCTTCAAAACTGGAAAAACCCGTCTCAAATATCGGTAAACATATAATTATTTTATCCAAAACGAATGAAAGTTTATTTCGTCTCCATAAATCCTTATTTACATATTTGATTAGCGCCTGACTATTTATATGCTGCAATTACAATGAAATGCAACCTTATAATACTATAATACATACTTATATTCTATGACTGTAACGAATACTGTTATGTATCACATATGGTAAATGTAATCATAAAAGTTCCATTTACAAAGAAATTGCTAAAAACTTATTAAAAGATAAAGTAATAAAGCAGCAAATAAAATTATGCATACGGCATTTACATTTTTAGTGTACATCACATTTTTAGGTGGGGAAAAATTCCATAGAGATTCTGGCATTGTCATTTACGTTTTTTTTTATTATTAAATATCACAAAGCTCTTCACCGATTTTTTTTAAAATTTCAACAAAACGTTATATTTGAATACGCGCCTGTTTCCACTTTTTTTAAATACAACGTCATCTGTTGGACGTAAATATCTCATATCTCTTATTTCTTTTCCATTTAACCAGACTGAGTAACAGCAACACGTGGTAGTTTATACAAAAAATTTGTAATATTGCCTTGATTAAACGCTCACTCTTATTATTTTAGTACAATTATTGAAGTTCAATATTAACGTTCTTAGTCAAAATCTAATTTTTTAAAGGAACCAACGATAGCTTCTTCATTGTATTTTTCTCTGGGCCTTTTACTTTCATCAGAAACTAGCTTGCAGAAATCTATAAGTATGTTTTTAGTTTTTTCCGTTCTAAATTCTTTATCGAATCTATCTGTAAAATAAAATAAAAAAATAAAATTAACAATTAAAATTAAAATTTGAAAACAAATAACAGTAAATATTCATCTTTCTAGCCTCAAATAATATTGCTTCACTACAATTTTAACTTTAATTGATACATCTACATTACAATACTTATTTATATATTATGTAAGCTGTAGTAGTGTAAGATAAACATTGAAATAAATCACACAAATGTTTGTCATAATTTGAGGCTATATTATAAAGAAAAAGTTAAGTAATAAATATTACTAACGCTAATATATCGTCAATATGGCTAACAAAATGATTGTTGATAATAGCTGTAGAGAGCTCCATATTCTAAAGTGGATATGGAGTTAGATGGTTTGACATACCTGAGTACTCTTTTAAGGTTGGCAGATCACCACCGTAATCTTTTGGAAGATATTGTTTAGGTAAATGTTTATGTAAGCTCTCCAGCGAATCATGAATAATAACACGTTCCATCAGTTTTGCCTTTACAAATTTTTTCATAAAATTAGCTACATGATGACCGAACACCGGTGCATTCACACAGTGTATTTTGCTCACCCGTACACCTAATCCCTCCTGAAATCACAAAACACATCTAGTTCACACACATGTGTTGATGCAAAATGAAAAAAGCGGTCTAGGTGCGACCTGAAAGGTCCACACGATAACATCCCAGTGGAAAGAATAAAAAATATCATGTTTCAATATTTTATAAAAATTTTCATTTGGCACAAAAACGATTTGACCGATTTTGCTCAAAATGAGGTTTAAGTTACATAATTATACGTTAAATGAAACTGGTCCCATGTCAATATCACTCTTTGTTCACGAGATACATGAGGTGAAAATTGAATCCGAACATACATACATACGTACATGTACGTACATATATATGTACTTGAAACCTGGAGATATGTTAAAATTTCCGATTTGCAATATCGGACCCATTACAATAATTTCCCACTGGGAAGTTAAAAATGCAGGTCGACGAAAAGTCTGACAACACTGAATAGGCCACTGCATCAGCTCGCGCGGGGGCATTGGACCGGAGAAATTATTAAGCATGAAAGCAACTAAGAGTAAGGATTTAGTTTAGTTTTGTGTGTTAAGCAAGGTTTCTTGAGAGATTTTTATAAAACTTAAAGATAATATTATAATTATATCAAATTGTGTAATGATTACACGTGATTACAAAAAACGATTAATTGCTTCTATCGCGGGCCTTGAGCGCGGGGACCGAATCCAGAAATTCCGTAACGAAAAAAAACCTCACGCTCCCCACTCCGACGGGCACGGAGGTGTGGCGTTGAAAGCCGTGCATCGTCTAACGCCGTTTTAGTTCGGCAGACTTCGGCACTCGGCAGACTTCGGCACGGTGTTTGTGTGCGTGTACACTAGCTGCTAACTCAATGATAAAAAATTCCTGAATAACCTACATGTATTGTAAGATATTAAAAATATTTTAAACAATATTAACTTCTCATTTATTCAATAAGAGAAAAAATTTGTTTTCTTATCGGTCGCCACGCTCAAAAAGTGTAACTTGATTTGATATCAAAGACTTAACTGCATAAATAAAATAAATAAATAATTATAATTGCATAAGTTGATAAAAAATGCTATGCAATAGCTTTACCGCGGCAGTCACCGAGTGCCACACGTATTTTATTATTTTATTATACTATGCTGCTATGTTGAATTTATAATCGGGAATATGTCAACCTCATGTGAGAAAGTAAAGAAGTGAAAAGTTTAAAGAAATCTTTAAACAATGAATCACTGGTGAATTGTTCCGTCACGGATCTCCGAACGACGTTTTCCATAGGGTTCTTGTTTCTACAAATATTCCCGCGGTTTTAGAGCCCTATGGAATATTTATAGAATATTAAGGTACCACCATCGTCTTTAATCCTTTCTAGACCAAAGTCATACCCGACAGTATGACAATAATTAGGAGAGACTACGTGCAACATTTTGGCGGCCTCTCACCTCAGGGATTCTTCGTTTAAGAGTTTATAAGAGATTACAAAAAATTTTTGGGGTTAGTATTTTAGAATGAAGATACTTTTAAAGATTGTTAGATTGTGATTATTTCATTATAAGTAGTAGTGAGGATAGAGTAATGACTTAGATTTGTTTATATAAATAAAAAAATGCATTTCTATTTGTAAAGATTTACCTGATAAATATTGACTGCCTTTTGAAAAATTATCGGATTATAACGCATTAAGTGTCCAAATCCCGCATTATTTAAATCTACAACCCAAATCTCATTGAACATATAATCATATTTCAATCGGAAGTCAGCCATCTAAAAATGAAATAAAAATAAAATTAATATTTTCATATAAAGATACGTTTTGTTATTTTTCCACTTAACGTAACATGTTTCAATAACGATACAGTATGAGGGAAATAGTTAATTCAGTAATTTTGTTTCCTTTTACTGCAATGGGGTTAGTTATACAATTATTTAACGTGTATAAATTACAAAAGTAATAAAAATTGGAGCGGAAAGCACACGTCCATGAATACTCGTACGTCTGTTGACCCAGCGGATTCACATGTCTGCGAAATTATATTTCGTAGGTATTTATTTATTATAAAAGGAAGGAAATAATATTTATATCAGAAAAGTACTTCGCCCTGAATATGCAGATAAAAATCATGTGAACATGTTGCTGTTCAAGAAAATAATATTATACTCATGATTTTTGTCATACGAACGGTTCAACCAATCGAATGGTCGAATTTCAACCTGACGAGATATAACAATTTCTAATTTCTCAGACAAATAGGTTTTTATTCGCCTCTCGAAAGATGATAAATCAGAATTTAAAATTATGAGTAACAATTTTAGTGTTGCCGGATTGGAATGTGGTAATTCTTATGCCGTAAGAATTATAAATCATACTTACAAGAATTATATTTCTATACAAAACTTCAGTGTCAAAAGTGCTTGGATCAGATTCAAAATTAATTAATGAAACTCTTTTTCCATTATAAAGTTGTGGTACTATTCCTTGATGGCTGCAACATAAAAACTAAACATAAATGAAACAGAAACAGAATTTTTTCATTCAATATAGTTTGTAAATAATACTTATTGAAATGTCACTCTTTTGTTTAATTTACCACTGGTTCGGAATGAACCATACCATACCATACCAGCAAGAAACATATCGGGATTTTGTTAAAAAAAACAGCTTACATAATGATTTTCTAAATTTACGCGAACACTACACATTGAATAAAACTAATATTTACGGATTTTATCGCGTTTAATTACTACTTTAATTTACTTTAAAGATATTAAACTTTAATTTGCAACCATCCGCTTTAATTATATACAATGATGTGTCTCAGGAGATGTAAACTCTACGGCGGCTGACCACTAAGTCAACCGCCGTAGAGTCTACACCTCCTGAGGATGCCGCGTTTAGAGGCGAAATACGTCGTATTATCGTCGATGATGTGTCTTTCCTGGAATAGTAGTGTTGGGAGTAGTGGTGCTGGTACTAGTGGTGACGGAATTAGTGCATTCAATTGAGGGAGGGCGGGATGTGCTCTTCAATCCAGGAAAAACACATCATCGTATATAATTAAAGCGGATGGTTGCGAATTAAAGTTTAATATCTTTATTATAATGAATTAGTAACTCCTGATTCTATCAATTATCTTAATTTTATTTTATTATCCCGAAGTTTCGGGTGCTTTGCAGCACCCATGGTCACGGGGGGGACTAAGATGTTTGACGTCCCAATGTCATAGTTAGTTTGGCTACCTTCAGTTTTTGAATATTAATTTTTGGTCCGATTTACGCAAAACGAGCTTATGCATGAAGTCTTGCAGTGGTATGCTTGGGTGTGGGTTTAATTTTGTTAGTTATAGGATCCCAAGCAGATGGCAGCACCCATCCATCTTCTCTATTGAAATTTGGATGTTTTTTAATCTCAATAACCTTGCGTATCATCCTTGGTAGGAATCCATCCATCTTCTCTATTGAAATTAGGATGTTTTTAATCTCAATAGCCTTGCGTATCCAATCTTGTCTGTGACTCCTTAGACATACGGTAGTACAGCAGGCGCGCACTCGACTGTGGCCGGCTTCACTCGTTTACTATGACGTAGGAACAAGCCCCATACCAACAAATATCTAAATGGTGAATCTCACCATGATCCTTCACAGTTAGCTACCGTGGGTAAATCTTTGTTTCAGAGAGTACGACGGATCTATGACAGAAAACATCTGGCCGCCGAGCTTTAGCACGTCAAGCAAATATTGCAAGACAACAAGCTTCGGATCCCGCGCCTACGTCACAGTGAACGAGTGAAGCCAGTTAGCTCGCAAGCTCACGTATTTAAACACTCTCGTTCACTCGAGATCTTAAAATGGCGGGAATTGCAAATTTTTTGCTAACTTGCAAATTTTACTATATTTTCACTTTAAGAAAATATTTATGGATAAAACTTACTGGAATTATTGTTTAATGTATAAACTCAACAAGAATTCCAGTGCCATCGACCCAGAAGAACTAAAAACATTAATCAAGTTTTTGCGTTCTGTGTCTTAAATAAGAAATAATAAATTTAAGAGCATTAGTTCTTACACCATAGTGTTAAAGTTTACTGCTGTCTTATTACATCAGATTCGATACTAATATTAAAATGTTAACTAGTTGAGGTGCGATTGTCTATTATAGACGCAACAACTTTAACCGAAATCCCCCACAGATCTGTGGTTTTATTAATATCAATTAGTTTAAAAATATTTTGATGATTATTTATGAAATGATGAATTCTTTGTACACGCATTCAAATTTTTTTAAGTAATTATCAGGGGATGGCAGGAGAAGAATAGTTAAGATCCGAAGAGCAGTAAAATATTTTCTCAAAAATCATTTACCAGTTTTAATATTATTTTATACTCCATGTCATTTTAATTTTATTAGAAGCCATCCTAAATTTGTTGTTCAAATGCTACAGCTTAGCTGTGCAGCTCAAATTTTTAAATATTTTTATACTTATTCCCTAAATTCGATGATAAGATTATATGAACTTTCTTGGTAAATTTATTAGTACCATGAAAGTACATATTAATTACCTTTATTTGCTCTTATGGAATATTACTGCCGCCCTTTCATTGAATGCCTTGCGACTGTTCAAGGAGAATGTTTTTGAAGTAAAAGTATTAAATGATGTTCCGTACAAAACATCAGGGTAATTTCTAAACTTTTTCAACCGACGTGCATTTCCTCGAACAAACACAACTTTTTCATCTACATAATTTTTTTGAACTTAAGGTATTGAAAATTCTTGTCTACGGTGATTGGAACTTAACTTCTGAATTATATATTTATGTAACGGATTAACATTTGTAAAAATGTTATGTATACATGTTACTAAATCCAGCAACATGCATTGGCTCTAAAATAAATAAATTAAAAAGACCATAATATGATATGAACAATGATTTAAATTTAATATTGGTGGAGAAAACTTCTAGGAGATTAATTTTATAGTCTCCACTTATTACAACAGATTTATTATGTTTATTAAGCTCAACAAAATTTTTCTACATATTCTTTTCAAAAGTATCATACTGGTATAAAGAATATGTGGGACTGTAGCCGCTCACTACAATGAGGTGCTCAAACTCAATACATGCCATTTCTACAGTTGCTCAAAAGAGGGGCTCGCAAAATCTTTACGTTTTATACGTGATAATAAATTTACTAAATAATATTAAGCTACCCGTCGAAAACGTTTCTCTATTGAAAGAACTGATCACCCAGTTATGACTGGAGTTTAACATCAAAATTTAAGCGTTTAATCAATATTAAAACAGTAAGACATAAAATAAAAATACTATAGCTTGTTCGAGTATATTTCGTTTGTATATTTTTATGCACCCGGTGTAAACTATTTTTGTTATCATTTTGTGGAGTCATACAATTGTGGGTTTGTGAACTACATTCTAAATTAATTAAATTATTGTAACTGATGATGACTAGATACTACCTCTGTTGTTTCATTTCCTAATTTAAATTACTTGGAACTCAATCCAAATTTCATATCAAGTCATTATACTGTTCAATAGAAGCAGATGTATAGGTGACCAAGTCTTCCGCAATTTAACCATTCTCGCCTGGCACCTAGCCGTTTTTAATGCGCTGGGGAACCACTCTAATCTCGCTCAGACTGACGCCCGGGATATCATCGGAATAGTGTCGGATAAGACCTGCTCTTGGAACGCTACTCACACTTGCGTGTGGCTTCAACGATGATGTGTACAGCTACCCAAAGAACCTCTCGATCTCACTCAAAAATTTCAGGTGCCCCAGAAACGATGCTGCCACACTCTACCTTCAGCTTTGAAAGATGGCTCTTTCTGGCAGACAGATCTCTGGCAAAGACTTTGGAGCCCTGGTTCCGCTCGATTACTTCTTCAATACGAGCAGTATTAAAGTTATGTAAGTCCCGCCGCATGTATTTGGAGATCTGTTCATTCAGTTGCCTGTATACCGTCAAATCTGTTGAAGACTGCAGCTTCATTTCCCGTCTAACAGCCTCGAGATTAAGAGCGTGATCGGAGAGTTTTTGTGTTCTTCTGCGGCGGGTCTTGCAGAAATTAACTCCGACCGCATGAACAGTTTCCACGAGCTTATATCGTCCACTGCATTGCAATCATTTAGGCACTGAAATCGGTTTTGTAACTCAAGCTGAAAGGTTTCAGGACTTTGGTTTAGAGCACGAGGGGGACGGAGCATTGATTTCATTAGACGGGCCTCTCCAACTTAACGTTTAGGTTCAGTGTGCCTCTAAACATTCCGTGATCGCTCCTAGTTTTCAACCCTTGTGATCATTGAGACATCACTAAACAGTTGTCGTCTAATCGTCATAATGAAGCCAATCTCAAATTTTGTCGAACCCTCAAGACTCAACCAGGTCCACTTTCTATGGGGCCGCTTCTGGAAGAAAGACTTCATTATAAAGAGTCCCTATATCTCCATGAAGTCGCTGAGCTGCTGGCCCCTTGGGTTCCGTTGCCCTGTCCCAGTAGTAGCCGTCGCCTTCAGGTCACCGTTCTTTCTTGTGCTAGCTTAACGTTCCTATTAACACCATATAGTGCATTTTGGAGGAATGCATGGCTCTAGAAATGCCCTCATACATTTCCTCCACCTCCTCATCGGGATATGCCGATGTTGGTGGTAAACCTGTATGACCTTCAGCGAATACCGTTTGGTGGAAAATCCAACATCTATTTGGGACATATGGTCGCCCTCCCGGTGATAGAACAAGTTCTCTCTTCGAACCTCAGATAATCCTATAATAATCCAGCGCAACTTGTCTATCTCTTCTTCCAGCTTCAGGATCTTCTTGTCAGTCCTCAAGGTGCGTGCGTTATATGTTACCAGGTCGAGTCGTTTTAGGTGTTAACTGTACCAACACCTCCACAGGAGACTCTTAGCACCCCCTCTGCCCCGCCGTTGCCATAGCCAGGAATAGCAGGGCCACCGAATAGTGACACTGGTGGTGTAGCTATGTAGTAAGGGCCAGGGAAAATGAAATTAAGACTCTATTTAAACAATACTTAATATTCAAAATTTGCAAAACTACTTCATAATTCGCTTACAGGGAAGAAACACGTATCTCATAGGCCAGCCGAATTTCATGCAGTTTTTCCGTTGCTCGACGCATTATTGTAACATACAATATCACAACACGGCACTCAAAATTAGCGTAATGTCTTCGAGTTTATAGAGAAATTAATATTTTAGTTATTTATTTAGCGAGAGAAGCAAACTACTCGTGTCGTGAGAGTTTAATCTCGTTTTAGAACTTATTGCTTGGCGCTGACATCGATTATCTTTATAAGATGCGTTGCGTTCCAAAGATGGACAATTACGATAAGAATACTTAGAAATATATGCAAAATTTGAATATAAAGGTATAACATCGTAGCGTTTTCGCATCAACATTTTTTTCATTATTACATGACCTCCTGGCGACACATCGAAACATAATCTTGCAAAAGCATTTTGAACTCGTTGAATAATTTGTGAGATGTTCTTCAATCGACATTACACATGATCTAACTTATTTTCTTACTCAAGTTAATCACATCTTTATCCGACCATCTATATAAACATACTATAATCTATCAGTGTGGCGTTATTTAGATTTTAAAATATATCAATTTATTTTACCAATTTCTTTTTCATAAATCTTAAGTTTTTCGGGTAAAATAAACATAGACCACTCCTCGTATTGCTCCCCCAATCTATTCGCAAAGTTTAATTACTCTCAGGTTAGTCACTCAGAATATTAGCCTGGTCTGACAAACAGACCGACAAAAAAAATTTAAAATAGTTATTATAATACAATATATCCTAATCGCAAGCAAATAACCCCTTTAGCTATTTTGGTATTATGGACACTTTAATTTTGTATATATATATAGACAAAGACTATTGAAATGGAGAAGTACTCGAAATGTTTACCCAAAACAAGTTATCTGCTCACGACCGTCACAGACTAATAATAAGAATTTTAAATTAAGATTTACTTAAGTGGAGTCGTGGATAGCGCCTATATGAGGATGTCTGGCATGTTTATGGAACTTACATCAATTATTTGGTACAAAATAAGTTTACTGCTTACTTGTTTTGGCACGAAATAATTGACGTAAGTTACGTCAGCATGCAGACTTATATTATTAATCTGTGGCAGTCGTGGTCAACCTTTCAGATAATACATTTTTTAAATTAAAAAGAAAAACCATTACAACAACTTACAAAAATGTCCAAATATTTTCATCAGTCTTCGAAAGTATTTCAACTCTACTTTGTATTAACTCTGGGGCCAATGCTCTGTACTTATAGAAATTGTCAATCCTGTATTTAGCTTTTTCTCGAGAGCCTTTCGCAGAGACCAAAATTCTTTCGATGAAATCGCGATCTGAAATAGAAATTTAAAATTCTGTTTAGAATTTCTGTTATTTTACTCAAATGTCATAAAGTATTTTATTGGCACTAATTAAATAATATGGTAATATAAATAATACGTGGGTGAGATTTCTGTTTCCTTGAAACCGCCTCATATCCTGTTTATGAATATAGAAATTAAATAATTTGTCATAATTTGTGTCATATTTGTTGTAAAATGTTATTTCCTGCTCTTATTATAATTTAAAAATTTAATTTACATGAATAGGAGAATACTGACTGCACTGAGAAGGTAAATAATATTACATTAGTTAATTAAAATATTACCACAATGAAATTAACCGACGTAAAACAATATGTTTAGAATATGAATATAGTAATATTTTATAATGTAATAATTTCCTTCAAAATGTACACAAAACTACCCATGTATACCATCTTCATATAAAAATTATGAATCTCTTTAATGTTAAAATAAATAGATACACTATCAATATTTATTATGTTATGTATGTAGGTATACGGCATGGTTTTTGAATGGTGGTGGAATGATGGTATGGTTTTTGAAGCCTAGTTGTCGGAATACTAGGATTTTTCTTTGCAGTTCCATGTTTTGATTCCCAGGTGGAGTAAGCATTTGTGCATAAACACAATTTGAAATAAAAGGAAAGTAGGGAGAGTAAAATCTATCGTAAATTTATTAATGTCGGCGAAGACGAGTGGAAGTAAACCTTTAAATAATACTAGTTTTTACGGAATTTATCGCGTATATTGAACTTTTTAAATACCCGACGTTTCGAACGCTTTACAGCACTCATGGTCACGGGCGGGACTGAGATGTTCAACGTCCATATGTCATAGTTAACCGCGGTTACCATAGATTAAAATTTAACTTTTGTTCCGATCTATACAGTATGAAATTATGGTATCTTGAAGTCTTGCAGTTGTATGCTTGGGTTGGGATTAAATTTTATTTATTATAGGATCCCAAGCAGATGGTAGCACCCAGCCATCTTCTCTATAGAAATTAGGATGTTTTTTGATTTCAATAGCCTCGCGAATCATCCTTGGAAGGAATCGGTGTTCTTTAGCGAGGATTTGCGGTCTATCAAATCTGATGTAGTGACGGGGGCGATCCTGTACGCGTTCACAGACTGCAGACTTCCCGGAGCGTCGATTCTTCACATCAGCTATATGTTCTTTAACGCGGGTTTTTATTGATCTTTTAGTTTGTCCTATGTAGGAGAAACCACATTCACAATCAAGCTTGTACACTCCTGTATCTTGCAGAGGGACATTACACTTGACTGATGGTAAAAACTGACCAATCTTCTTCAGCGGCTTGATGTATGTTTTGATGGAAGCGCGCTTCAAGATGTAGCCAATCTTGTCAGTGACTCCTCTAACATATGGCAGTACAGCAGGTACACGCTCGACTGTGGCCGGCTTCACTCGTTCACTGTGACGTAGGCGCGGGACTCAAAGCTTGTTGTCATGCAAAACTTGCTTGACATGGGGGAGCTCGGCAGTCAGGTGTCTACTGTCACAGATCCCTCGTGCTCTCTGAAACAAAGATTTACCCAAGGTAGCTAACTGTGAAGGATGGTGGTGAGAATTACCGTTTAAATATCTATCTGTATGGGTCTTTTTTCTATACACAGTTTGGCTCAAGGTGTTATCAAGATTCCGTATTACTAACACATCTAGAAAAGCTAAGGAATTGTTTGCCTCTAACTCCATTGTGAACTGAATTTTAGAATTTATAGAGTTAAGATGGTCTAAAATGCAGTTACTTTATCTAAAGGTAGAATTGTGAAAGTGTCGTCTACGTACCGCTTGTAGAATCTTGGATTTATGGGAGAACTAAGCAGGGCTTTCTCCTCAAAGTCTTCCATGAATATGGTTGCTTTTGGTTACCACCATTCAAAGCAACCATTGACAAACAAAGATCATAGATTAATAGCGCTCTATAATCTGTCAAAACAAACACTGGATGATGCAACAATTAGGGTTTTATCCAAAGGCCTCAACTTTGCTATTACACCCCGCAAATTACCGTACGAAGAAATTATCTGTAGTGTCGAGGACTGTTTATTTAAAAACAATATGCGGAAAGAAGATTTGGAGGCGATACGACAAGACATTTCGTCTATGTTACGTCGATGTTCAGTGCCTAAACCGAATCTTCCCAAAGACGAAATTATAGCGTTAAAGAACCTACGCAATAAACCAGAACTTACGATTCTCCGCGCAGATAAAGGAAACGCCACGGTAGTCATGGATACGTCAGATTATAATTCTAAAATACAAGAACTTTTGTCGGATGTAAGTACTTATAAAAAGGTTAAAAACGACCCAACAAATAGCACACTAAAAACAACTAGTGACCTCATAAAGAAACATTCCGAAAAATTAAACCTGGACGTAAAATGGATAATACCTACGTGCGCCAAATCACCAAAATTGTATGGGTTACCAAAAATACACAAGCCCAATGCTCCATTACGTCCTATAGTGAGCCAAATCGATTCACCAACTTACAGATTGGCTCAACCCTTAGCGAAAATACTCTCACCGCTCAGGGGACATACAAGAGCACACATAAAGGATTCCTACCATTTTGTCAGCGAGATTAAAGACCTACATCTGGCAGACAATGAAACTATGGTCAGTTTTGATGTGCAGTCATTGTTTACATGCTTACCTGTTGAAGACTGCATCTCAATTGTAATTAGAAGGCTGGAAGAAAACAACATGCCCGTAGAATATGCAGTATTACTCAGACACTGCCTTAGATCTGGCTACCTATTGTGGAAGGAGAAGTTCTACAAGCAAGTAGATGGTGTGGTGATGGGCTCACCTGTATCTCCCATTGTCGCCGACGTATTCATGGAAGACTTTGAGGAGAAAGCCCTGCTTACTTCTCCCATAAATCCAAGATTCTACAAACGGTACGTAGACGACACTTTCACAATTCTACCTTTAGATAAAGTAACTACATTTTCAGACCATCTTAACTCTATAAATTCTAAAATTCAGTTCACAATGGAGTTAGAGGCAAACAATTCCTTAGCTTTTCTAGATGTGTTAGTAATTCGGAATCCTGATAACGCCTTGAGCCATACTGTGTATAGAAAAAAGACCCATACAGATAGATATTTAAATGGTGATTCTCACCACCATCCTTCACAGTTGGCTACCGTGGGTAAATCTTTGTTTCAGAGAGCACGAGGGATCTGTGACAGTAAACACCTGACTGCCGAGCTCCACCATGTCAAGCAAGTTTTGCGTGACAACAAGCTTCGAGTCCCGCGCCTACGTCACAGTGAACGAGTGAAGCCGGCCACAGTCGAGTGTGTAACTGCTGTACTGCCATATGTTAGAGGAGTCACTGACAAGATTAGCTACATCTTGAAGCGTGCTTCCATCAAAACATACTTCAAGCCGCTAAAGAAGATTGGTCAGTTTTTACCATCAGTCAAGTGTAATGTCCCTCTGCAAGTTGCAGGAATGTTACAAGCTTGATTGTGAATGTGGTCTCTCCCACATAGGACAAACTAAAAGATCAATAAAAACCCGCGTTAAAGAACATATAGCTGATGTGAAGAATCGACGCTCCGGGAAGTCTGCAGTCTGTGAACACGTACAGGATCGCCCCCGTCACTACATCAGATTTGATAGACCGCAAATCCTCGCTAAAGAACACCGATTCCTTCCAAGGATGATTCGCGAGGCTATTGAAATCAAAAAACATCCTAATTTCAATAGAGAAGATGGCTGGGTGCCACCATCTGCTTGGGATACTATAATAAATAAAATTAAATCCCAACCCAAGTATACAACTGCAAGACTTTAAGATACGATAAGTTCATACTGTTTAGATCGAAACAAAAGTTAAATTTTAATCTATGGTAACCGCGGTTAACTATGACATATGGACGTTGAACATCTCAGTCCCGCCCGTGACCATGAGTGCTGTAAAGCATTCGAAACGTCGGGTATTTAAAAAGTTCAATATACGCTATAAATTCCGTAAAAACTAGTATTATTTCAATGTGTAGTGTTCGCGTAAATATTGGAAGCAAACCTCCTAGGTATAAACCAGTCGTTTCCAGGGCAGTGGCATGGGTACGGAAAATATACCTAAAAATTGTGCGTCCGGAACTTAGGTGGTAAGATTATTTTATGCTAAACACTATTTAGGGAACTTTCTTCTTTGTTGCGTCCCTGTATTTGCCATACACTACTCGAGAGGGCCAGAAATTAGGAGCAAAAAATGTTTGTTTATGTTTTGCAGAAAAATAGGGTACTTAGGATTTGAAATCTGTTGACCTATTGGACACCTCTATAAATGTGTAGAAATTGGATACTCAATAAGAAATCAGCTTCTTTCTTCTACGAAGCATGGGACGTCTTTTCTCGGCATACTATTATCCGATTGGAAAATCTGAAACTGCCTGGTGGACTCCACAACACGCAAAGTTGTACAAGGGGTTATTTTGTCAGTCCCACGCTGGTTACAGGTGGTTATAAATCGGTGTATCTTTTCAATTAAAGTAAACTCAACATTGTTGACTTTTGCTGATGATGGTGTATTACAAGCGCCATTATATCAATTCTTTGCTGTCTAGCTTTCACTTAGTATAAAAAGGTTTTCCAAGAAATATGTTTTCGTTTAGCATTCTTGGAAATGAAAACTTTAAAAGTTCATTGCTACAAAGGAACCGCTTTCTTTGAAGGAAGGGTTTGTTTTAATCTTCACGCTTGGCAGGTGGTACCACCGACGATCATTCGATCGCAGTCCCAGACGTCTTGAACTTTCGATGTTGCCCGTCACCGTAAGCCTAAAGATTTTTAAGGCATCCCAACTCGCTGTAAATTTCACAGTACGGTATTGTAATTATATGAACTGATTTACCACGTGCTTGGCGGCGAATGGAAGCATCGTGAGGAAACTTGCATGTCTGAGCAATAAAAGAAAGTATTTTGAAGACATATGAAGTTCGCTAACACGCATTGGGGCAACGGACACATCCTTGGCCTAAAATCCTCTCAGAAATTAGGAAACGCCTGTGTCCAGATGTGGGACGTATATAGGATGTAACGTTAACTTTGAACTTTTACTTTTTTTAGTTAACTCAACTGAAAGCTCATTGAAATTTTATTAAATAATTAGCCACCCGCCCCTACATCGTCTGGATAGGATATTTTAATGCGGCGTTATTAAGATTTGAGATTATTTTTAGTTTTCTTATTAAAGACCGATTTCAACATTAAAGACAGACTCTTCAATTTTATTTATATGTATAGATAGTTTAAGAAGTACTACCTATGGGTGCTTCAGCCAGGTGTGGTTGTTTCTTGAACCATTCAATAATTAAATTAATATCTTCTTCGAGTACACCGTCTTTTAATCCAATTTCTTTTTTAACAGCCTGCTTGTCTTCTTCCGTATACAAAACCATGTAGTGTTGACCTTCTAAATACATCTAAAAAATAAAAACAACGGATTAACTTGTTAGAAATAAATAATTTCATACGTGGTAGAGACACGCTACAACGTATTATGGCTGCAACACAAATGAGTTGGCTAGACCGAAAAGGACCAAGGTCACACAAAATACTAAAATATCAGCATAATGCTTGTTGTAAGTTGGGTAAGAATCGGAGACGATTTTTTCTGGTGGCGTAGCGAGGCTTTCTATCTTAGTTCCCAGATATGAAAAAGCATCTGAATTTTGATACTTAATCGAGGCTACATATAGACGACCATAGACTACTTCTAAATCATTCTAAAGCATCTACTTATTAAACCGTTTGTCTTCCTCAAGAAATAAAATAAAATGATATATTTTTATTTATTTCTTTGAGGTAAAATGCGACATAAGTTTTCTTTGTTATATGTCTCATTTTAAACCTACTAAATCTGCTAATACCCTTTCGAAATAAGATTCCTCTGACCGGAAAAGAAATGGCGATAGAAACTCCATGGGTATCTTCTATTTTATTTATTTGGTTAATATTACATAGTTCATGATTTAGAGGAAATTTCGAATAATTCTATTTTATAAAAAGAAACTGTATAAAAATTGTATCGACGATTGCCCGTTGCCTACGATGTACAAAACGTTTGCCATGTGTCTAAAAAAGAGAACAACGCTAAGTATAGTGACGAATCAACCAGTAAAGCAAACTAGATTCCTGTTGGATTACTCTACTATCGACACGTGTTGACCAAATTATTGAAAATACACCAATAATTTAATCAGCGTTACTACAAAGAGTATACAAAGGCCAATAATAGTAAATGAAACCGCTACAGAGTATGTGAACAGCTATATATCCCTTAAGAAACTATCTCGTTGGTCTAGTGTTCATAAACGCGATTGTTGATTATGAGATCCCGGGCTCAAATCCCAGGTTGGGTCAAAATCAGTAGCATCCCGGAGTAAGGAAGTTGGCGGTGTTTCACCCCGTGCGTCGGAAAGCACGTAAAGCCGTTGTTTCTGTGCCTGATCTCTCTCCGGTCATATCGAACTAGCATCCCATCAAACTATAAAAGGGAAGAAAGTATAAGTGAAAGAATGGAACGTGCGCCTATGTATTAATGATATAGTAATTGTATGCGAAAACAATTGAGCACTATAATCCTGTACTGCGCAGATGGCTAGTCTCCGTTGAAACTGGCCGCCGTTTCCGAAATTCGGTCTAGAGGACATTGATATTAATTTAATTCATGGTAAACAAATTCCTTTCAAAAATCAAGACACAAAAGCAAACTAGAGCGCCGTATCAAAATGACATGGAAGAGATATGAAATCACTTAAGCTGAAGAAAGAAGAAAAAGGTAATAGATTCGTGTTTGCTGCCTTGACTGTCATATGAAGCACAAACTTGGATTTTTTAAAAGAAAACATAATATAAAATACATTCCTACCAGCGTGCTATGGGACGAAGTATAAAAATTAAGTTTACTGATAATCGTAAGGGCGAGGATTTTAGCAGAACAACTAAATAAATAGATGCAGGACAACACGCATAAACGTCTTAATAGATATGGGTGGGACACGTCGCCTGGAGTACAGACGGAAGATGTACAAAACGAGTTACCGGATGAGTGGGCCCAAGCGGAACATGAAATAAAGGGGGAAGTAAAGATCGCTGGATTAATGAAAGCAAACGCAAAGACCTTTAAACGAGCATGATCTTCCCAAGTCCGTCACACACTGAGATGTATCTCCAAAAAGCACAAAAATAAACAGATAGTTTACTGAACACACTTGTAACTTCCCATGGGACCAATTACGATTCTTTCCTAGAAGCCAACTATGTAGCTACATATTATGTATTCAAATTCTCAATATGTATAAAATATATAACATCGCTGAATGTAGCAATAGAACATAAGTATCAGGTCTTCTAATGAAGGTAAGCAGGTGGCAATGAGAGTACAATCTAAATCATTCTATCAGTAATGCGCCTCCTATCATATGTCTATCTTAGATAAAACATTTTGTAGCATATTTTGATCTTAAAAGCGTCTTCATTTTGCATTGAAGGTGGTATTTAGGGACAGAATTGGTTTAATTTCCGAAAAGCTCATTACCTTAATAAAGCAATATGGTATTCATCAGTCTTTTTGCAGTGCACACTCCAAATCATTGAATAAATAATGTAATTATTACTGGAAAATATATTTATATTTAAGAAACAATTTCTTAATAATTTCTGTTATCGTCATTAAGAAATTATCTACTTCCGATAGGTTCTCTTTCTGAGATCGTGGATATATTAGATGTATAAAATATTTGATAAGTAATATATTTATAGATTATTAAGTCATCAAAGAAAAATCAAGCGAAAATAAATGACAACAAACAAAATTTCATAATTTCACCAACATTAAATTTGTATATGAAGTTTAAATTTAATTACTGATTTATGGTGATAGGTAAATTCACAATGTAAAAGATTTTATTCGTATCGTTTTACTAGCTGCGAACTTGGTATATTTGTATATATTAAAACGCAATCATTTATTTGCATAGCATTACGTTGTCATATGGAATCTTGCTATGGGGTAGTGCTACTGATATTGAAACTAACTTTGTTTTGTGGAAAAGAGCTATAGGAGCAATTTATAATCTAGGTCTGAAGGAATCCCTTAGAGAAAAGTTTTATGCAATAAATATAAACTTTAGCCTCTCAGTACATTTACCACTTTTTGTAGGTAAACAAAAACATAATATATAGTTTTATTTAAAATAGTGATGTACATTCCGTTAATACTAGGAACAAACACAAGCTAGTTATGCCAGTAACTCGGCTCCAAAGAGTCCAATGATTCCTTCATGGGGAAATGCATAAGTTTATACAACAAATTCCGTGAAAATGTGCAGGATCTCACTTATTTTACATAAAAACAAAAACTTATAAAATTACATTGATAAGACTTAATCTACACTTCACAACGACTTAAACTACAATCACAGATTTGTGGTACAGCTGCTAAGCCCTCCCCATTAAATACACACCAAATATAATAAAAAAAAACATAAAAACAATTTTACCGCAATTAAGAAATGAATTAAAGTGGGTAGAAGTAAAATAATTAGCCATGTACTAATACGACAAATGGCTCAATAATGTTTAGTTGTATGGTACAAGAGTAAGGCAGGAGAGATATTCTATAAATATGTCACACACTTAATATTCAAATAGTGTAGTAAACGTTTACAAGAACTTATTCTATATTCCACATAAAGATAATTGAAACGCAGTGAGTAGTGACTCAGTAAATATTACATTTTCTAAAAACAATAAAATAAAATTTGTATAACCAATATTACATAAGTGTAAAATTAATACGCAGATGCCAGTTTATATATATATATACGTAGATTTATAAATTAATAAAATTGTTTAATAAAGGTTATTATACTACTAAAGAGTACACGAATGATAATAACTCATGCTGTTTCCAGCTACTACTGGTTTTTTTCCAAACCAGTAGAAAAACATAAGTGACATTCTATAAGTATTCTTGTAATCTATATATAAAATAAAAATATTTAATTCTATTTATATTTCATAAAATATTATAAAACACTTTTTAATAATCCCATATGTTTGTACTAAGCTAAAGAAATTGATTTAAATGGTGTGAAATTAACTAAAAATAAAATGAAATAATTTTAAGTGCTGATTATTTATATAACAAAAATTTTAATTTATATTGAACATATCATTCGCGACAAAACACACTATTTTCAAGAAATTTATTTTACACCTTCCAATCATTCCAATGTTAAAATGTAAATGATATGTAATACATAAAGATAATACACCAGAATGTTGCAAATGTTTAGTAGTACAACGGATGTTGTTATGTTCTGTATATGTACTGTGGAAGGATGAGTTAAATGTCATCATTTAACTACCTTAGCCTTATTCTATTCAATCTCCAAATTAATAATTTGTTACATAAATATACACTTATCGAAAATATTTCTCTGTTGTTGAAAATATATTAAAATATAGGATACCTCACCGGACCACCTTTACTGGAAATAAACAAAAGATGACATGAAAATAATAAAATCATATCGTTAATTTAATAAAATAATTACGTACCTTGAGTCGAAATCCGATAACTGACGTGAATAAAACAATGGAATAAACTAGCACGTGTGTCGCAGGAGACTCCTTGTTTAGTTTTGACTTTAATTTCTTTATCAACAAGCATAATATATAATTTACGCAACAAAAAAATAACTGGTTTTACCTAACCTTCAATAATTTGAAATATACCTAAAGTGTGTTTAAAAACAAAACTTAATCACTGTATTATAGTGTGAGGACTCCGCGTTTTGAAAAAGTTGCAAAGTTTAAAATAACGTGTAGAAAATGCATGTCCGTGCTATTTCTTAATACCAAAATGGTCCCGTGTTCCACTTATTTTTAATGAAGCTGGTATTTTAAAAATGAAAGAGCGATAGAAGCTATGATTAACTAATTTGCATTTGATTATAGTAACAAAGTCGCTTGAATATTTTTATAAAAAACCGTTTTAAGGAGAAAAAGACAAAATATGACCCCTTGTCAATCCCACTCATTGTTTTCATAGGTAACTGTATTTTTGTAGCTACTTATTACTATAGTACGAGAAAGAGAAAATTAAATAGTTAGAGGAAGAGAACTAACATTAGTTCAATTATATTATAAATAATTATCAACAGCACATAATGCAATAAATACTTTCCAGTAAACATTTTTTGCTTTGTTTTCAATCGGTATAACATCGTGTACCTATATAATATGTGTTTGTTTTGCAATAATTTTTCTTTCATTAAGTTGTATTTACAAATAAAGTCAGCTCGTGCTTGATGCAAGACGTGGTCAACTTTGATTAAGATTAACTTAGATTAATTTAGTTTTTACTAATCTTATAAAAAGTTTGTGACATAACCCATCACGCCGAATGGCTTGGTTCATCATGCGAGGAGATCTGTTCATGATTTAGCCTTGGCATATGGTCTGACACAACTGGTTACTTCGCCTACGCGGATTCCAGATGTGGAGTATCATGCACCTTCCCTGTTGGACCTTCTGCTGACCTCTCACCCAGAAAGAAATCAGATTTCCGTCAACGCCCCTTTAGGCTCCTCGGACCATTGTCTTGTCTGGAGTGTGGTGCCATTCACGCTGAAATCACAGTTGTATTCAGCAGGCTGCCACCGTGTTTGGCACTATAGGTCAGCCGATTGGGATAGGATGCAGTCTTTCTTTGCATCCTACCCTTGGGCGTAGGTTTGCTTCTCGCCGGACGATCCCAACGTTATTGCGGATTCTGTCGCTGATGTGGTACTTTAGGGTATGGAACTTTTTATTCCTTCCTCTGTGGTGACCATTAGAGGCAAATCTCAGCCATGGTTTGGTCACTCCTGTAAAATAGCATCATGCTATAAGCAGGAGTGCTACCAAGCCTGGGCTGACGCATCAACGTCCCGGGATGTAAACACCAGTGCTCTAAAAAAGAAGTATCCGCTTCTAGGTCCTTCAAAAGAGTCATTGCCAAGGCAAAGTCAGAGCACATAGGTAGAATTGGCAAGAAACGAGTTCGCGTCCCTTCTGGAACCCGTGCATTCTGGTCTCTCGAAAAGGCTGTCCAGGGGAATTTCTGTCAGCATTCTCTTCCATCTCTGCATAGGGAGGACGACTCACTGGACCATACCGCAAAGGAGAAAGCCGATCTGCTGGGCTCTTTCTTTGCGTCCACTCGACTCTCGATGACGGGGGAGTACGCCGCCGACCACCCCGCGGTGTGAGTTCCCATGTCGGAAGTACAGTTCACACAGCGCTCGGTTCACAAGGCACTCCTCTCCCTGGTCATCCACAAGTTGAGTGGGCCTGACGTAATCCCGTGTTTGGACGTGTTTTCCAGTCCAAACTCCCTAGGCATAGTCCCAAAATTATGGAAGATGGCTTTCGTCCACCCGATCCCTAAAAAAGGCGACCGCTCAGACCCGTCCAGCTACCGGCCTATCGTCATCACCTCCTTGTTCTCCAAAACAATGGAGTCCATTGTCAACTGCCAGCTCATGAGGTACCTTGAAGATCACCAGCTGATTAGTGATCGCCAATACGGTTTTAGTCGTGAGCTGAACGTCGATCAGCTGGTGATTTTCTGGTTTACCTAACTCATAGATGGGCGGAGGCAGTAGAGTCCAAGGGGTAGGCATTGGCTGTTAGTTGGACATTGCGAAGGCCTTCGATCGGGTTTGGCAAAAAGCGCTACTTTCGAAGCTCCCTTCCTATGGGCTTCTCGAGAAATTGTGCAACTGGATCACCAGATTTCTTGCAGATCGGAGCATCAAGGTCGTTGTAGACGGTGCAAGCTCCGGTTTTTATTTATTACAATACTATTAATGCTGGTGTTCCACGAGGTTGCGTGCTATCACCAACGCTGTTTCTTCTGCATATCAATGATGTGTTGCAAACCTGTAACATTCATTTCTATGCAGATGACAGCACTGGTGATGCTCTGTACACCAGCCGTGCCAATATTTCTCGGGAAAACGTCTCCGAGTACCGGGACAAACTTATGTCTGAATTCGAGTCTTTGGTGAACAGAGTCTCAGATTGGGGGCGACTAAATCTAGTCCAGTTTAACCCCCAGAAGACGCAAGTTTGCGCGTTACCATCCACACCATCTGGATGCTTGGCGGTCCACCACTGTACGTTTCACAGGAGTTTTCTGCCGCGTACGACCTCTCTGTGGAATAGTTTATCACCAGCAATTTTTCCGGACCGATACGATCTGGGGACCTTCAAGAAAAGAGCTTACTCCTTTCTAAATGGCCGGCAACGCAACCTGCAATTCCCCTGGTGTTACGGTTGGTCATGGGTGGCGGTAGTCACTTAACATAAGGTGAGCCGCATGCTCGTTTGCCCCCTCTACTATAAAAAAGTAACTGTTATATGGAGATGAAAGAAACAAATAAGCATGAATAAGCTTCATACGTTGTTTCCTTACGATCATTTACTTTCGTAAAGCAATGAGTAAAAGTCATAAAACTATTACATATAGTTGATAATAATAGTAAAAAAGTAAAGTAACAATATACCACCCCCATCAGAGTACGCCAATGTTCCACCTTCAAATATTTTTCTATTCCTCAGACATGCAGTTTCCTACATGTTTTCCTTCACCGGAGAGTGTAAATCAGCACTTAAAATTGAACCATTGCTTACTCTACCCTTATTATTATATGTATGTCTTTCTAATATGATTTTATGAAAAAGTGATAATAGTAAATCAGATGATGCTAAAAGGCCACTTGAATACAAAATACCTACACCTTAGGATGCCAACATAAATGACTATCATTTAATGGAGGATCGAGCTTGATAATTTCAAGTAGTAGCAATGACAATCGTGGGTTAGTCTACAGAAGATAAGCAAATAGATTCACATTTAAAACGAATATAAGCTAAATCACTTTAAGTTTCACCACTTTCGAATTGAAGACAGCTCCTTGACCTTACTTTCTGGTATAAGTTGGTGAATGGCGTCATTGATAGTTCGTATTTACTACCCTAATTGAATATTCGTGCCCCATTAAGACAATAGGCCATCGTCTTTTATACCATTCGTAGAAAAAAGCACACGTTCACGTCATGGACGATATTCTCCCATTAATAGATTTATGTCGAGTTATAATGCTATATATAAATTATCACACAGGAATTGTATTAATGCCATAGAGACAAATGATATGAGGGACTTTGTTGTTACGCTAGATCCCATCGCAGCAAGCATATTAGTTAGTTTTCCGGTCGTATTTTCATTTTTGAATGTACACGGTGTTGTGCATTTTCTTGCCTCAAACCCGAAACGTCGATGATAGTAGCAGTAAGGGGATCTTGTTCTTGAGCTTGTTCGACTTCTACTTGCAGTGCGGTTGCGACGAAAAGGTGATCTTCCTTCTCGGTGTTCGTAACGGGGTATTCCTTCTCGGTGTTCGTAACGGGATCTTCCTTCTCGGTGTTCGTAACGGGATCTTCCTTCTCGGTATTCGTAACGGGGTCACCACTGTAGTAGTGGTGATATGAGGTCCACTATTAACAGACTTCGAGTGGTTTAGATGTGGAGAAATGAAACAACTATTTTATGTGCAGACCAATGGAGTATGGAGTGTAGAATATGGTATATGGAATATATTTTTACTTCAACTCTGCCTGTATTTATATGTCCGGCTACGTCGCTAGTTTACCAATAATAACAATTTTTATTTGCCTAGCCAATTAAAATTCTTACATTATGACCAATAAAGATTAATCAAAATACAACTATATTATGTTCGTTCCATTTGCCGGCGTGAGACTCGTGTATATCTTCTCGTAGCTACGTCGCTGGATTGGGCTATAAAAATTGTGCAGGCCGGCGGGCGCGCATAGTCGGCGAGCGGCGGCGGAGTTGAAGAAACGGCTTAAAATGGTCGACGGATACATAACGATAGCAGCATGTGAAGACGATGTGGCGCTGAATGATATTTGCGACTGTTTCTTGTTTCTTTATTAGAACGTTAAATATATACGTCAAATATTTTATTAAAAATATTATAAAATTATATCTTTAAATTATAAAATTATAAAGTATTATAAAATTATATCATTAGTGCTACACCTGTGCTTGTATCGCTTAATTTTTCGAAATTACCTACAATGTCGACCAAATGCGATAACTGTAACAAATCTATCACCAAAAGTTCTCCTGGAGTAGAGTGCAATAAATGTGAGCGTTTGGTACACCTTAGTACTAAATGTACCGGATTAAGCAACAAACAGCTCGCCGCCCTAAAAGCTGCATCACCCGGACTAGGATGGACCTGTCCGGACTGCATACAGGAGTCATCGATGCGTAACTCTTCTATCGTGATTCCTGAAGATGATGATGAGGAGGAAGATGACATCCAGAAAAGCGCAGCTAAAACTGACGCAAAAAAAGCTGCTAAAAGATATCTCAAAGTAAGTGGAAAAAATCATCAAGAAAGAAATGACGCAGATAGACGATTCCCTTAAATTTCACAAGAAGAAACTAGAGGAGGTAATGCAATGTATGGAAAAATTTAAACAAACTATCAAAAATCTTGAAAAAAAAGAACGCCGATCTTACTAGCAAAAACAATAACCTAGAAATTAGAGTAGGCGCCTTAGAGCAACAAGTTCAAGCTTTGGAG